CCCCAAAACCCCAAAACCCCAAAACCCCAAAACCCCAAAACCCCAAAACCCCTGTTGTGTCGGACCTGATTGAATTAAGAATATTATATTACTCTTTTTTCTCTTCGTCCTTTTTCTTTTTCTCAGCATCCTTCTTTCTCTTCTTTTGGTCCTTAATGCCCATTGAAAGGGCTAACAAGTCCTTTAGCTCTTGAGATTCGATGGTGTTGTCAGTCTCGAATTTGTCTTTGTTAAGATCCATGTTGCCACTTAAGAAGATGGTTCCGTTTGCCATAACAGCTACTGTAGCTTTCCAGTGAGCAACAACTTCTCCTTTCTCTTCCTCAATCACAGCGAATGGCTCGATCAAGTCATGATCCAAGCAGTGCTTGACTCCGATTCTAACCATGGTCTGGTCCTCGAAGTGACGCAGTGAGAATGGCAAGGCTGGGTATCTAGTGTTCACCTGCTTGAGGAAAGATCTAGCCTTGTCACTCTTGAGCAAGTAAGTATTTTCTAACCTTCTTTTATAAATGTTAGTCTTTAACTCAGAAGCTTTTGGTCTTCCAGAGCCACTACTAACAAAGATTTCGAGACCAAAGACATCTCCTGGGTGGAACTCATACTCCTCACATTTCTGGCCTTTTGTAGAAGCAATGACATCCTCTCCATCGATTACATGCTTCTTGAGTTTGTGCGAAAACACTCCTTTTATAATATGGCATTTAAACTCTTCCACAGTCTTGTTGATCACTTCAGTGACCTGAGTGTTTTTGTTGCCTGCCAGGATAGTTCTCAAGGCAGCTTCCTTAGCAGCATGGACTGCAAGCATCACATCAGCAGCTCTTCCAGTAATTTTAGCATCAGCATCAGCAGTGGCAAAAACAGTATGTCCAGAAATGGCGATGTATCCATCAATTTGCACTCCCAAATCAATTTTGGCAACGTCTCCCTCTTCAATAGTAGTGCTCTCATCAGGCAATGGGGAGTAGTTTCCTAAGATATGGTTGACAGAAATAGAGGTTGGGAAAGCAATACCTCTTCTCAATTTTTTAGTCTTTTTGCTGTGGAACACAGTCTTGCATTGCTCCTCAATAAGGTCATCAGCTTCCTTGCAAAGAGTTGCAATATCAGCTCCAGGTACTACCTTAGCAGAGATCTGGGTGACAACGGTATCAGCAATCTCAGCAGCGGCTTTATATTTATCAAGAATAGAGGTTTCATCTATAAATGTCTTTTCAATTTCAGCGTCTCCTTCACCTTCCATATCTTAAAAGATTTATATAATTTTCAAGCGAATTTCTTCGCTTTGGGGTTTTGGGGTTTTGGGGTTTTGGGGTTTTGGGGTTTTGGGG